CGCCGCCAGACGGGCCGACACGGCCTTAGGGGAGGCTGCGGCCCCGCACGGCAGCGACCACACGCACAGCAACAGCGCCGCGACCGCCGCCATGGGGGGAGGAGGAGGGAGGCACGGGCGGGCCGGGCCACTGCCACGCAGGAGCAGGGCAAAGCGGCTCAGCACAAGACCCAGCGACGTTCCTCCGGCCTCCTTACCCCGTGGATTCATAAACTAGCCCCGCCTATGAGCGCCTGTGCCCGGCGCCCATTGGCCCGTAGATGCGCTTCGCTCTCTCGCTATTGGCCACGCAGAAGACCAATCAGAGCACGCAGCCTTAATGTCTAGCGCGGGCGCGCGGGGCGAGAGCTGTGGGTGGGACTCAGAGGCGGACTTCAGTGAGCTGTTAGGCGGGGACCGTTTGTTCCTTCGTGGCCGTTGCCTGAGCTAACGGCCGCCTCCGAAGTTACGTCTCAGGTTGGGTTGGTTCGTTATTCTCTGAGGGGCAGGGCCGGTGGGGGGAAGGCCGCTCACCCGCCACACGGTCTAGCTACGCTTGGGAAGTAACACACCGCCCGCCCGCGCGCTGAAGCTGACGGCCCGATTATTTAATGGGCTGCAAAGGACCGTTGAGGTGGAGTTGATGGAAAGTTATTGATGTTGGGATCTGGGAGCGCCCAGGTGTGTGAAAGGACAGAGGGATCCCAGCTTCTTAGATTTAGAGTGTTGCCGACTCTTACGATTTTATAGCAAAACTCAGGCTGGCTACATCTACATTGGCCCCTTTTCCGGAAGGGGCATGTTAATTTCAGCGATCGTAATAGGGAAATCCGCAGGGGATTTAAATATCCCCCGCGGCATTTAAATAAAAATGTCCGCTGCTTTTTTCCGGCTTTTAGAAAAGCCGGAAAAGAGCGTCTACACTGGCCCCGATCCTCCGGAAAAAGCGCCCTTTTCCGGAGGATCTTATTCCTACTTTGATCGCTATTACGATCGCTGAAATTAACATGCCCCTTCCGGAAAAGGGGCCAATGTAGACGTAGCCCTTATGTCTAGACTACAAGGATCTATCGGGAAAAGAAATGCAAAATAAGCTCCACGATTTGCCTACTTTTTTCTGATATTTTTTTGGAAGAGTCTTTTCCGAAATTTGGCCTATCTACACTAGGCCACATTTTGGAGACTCCTCTTGTGGAAGAGCCCTTCTTCCTTGTGGAAGGAGGAAGACAGGGGTTCTGAAAGAGCGCATCCGCTCTTCTGCAAAAAAAAATAAAAGCAGAAGAGCAGACGTTCCCTGGTTGCGATGCAGTTTTTCTGGGATACCTCCACCATCACTTTCCAGCACCTTGTCAAATAGGGTATGTCTACGCTACAGCACTAATTCGAACTAACTTAATTCGAATTAGTTAATTCAAACTAAGCTAATTCGAACTAGTGCATCTAGACCTAAAAACTAGTTCGAATTAGCATTTTGCTAATTCGAACTAGCATGTCCACATTGAGTGGACCCTGAACCGAGGTTCAGGATGGCCAGAAGCAGTGCCGGCAGGGCATCAGATTAGGACTTAGAGTGTGGAGCTGCTGTCTCAGGCTAGCCGAGGGCTAGTTAATTCAAACTAAGCTAATTCGAACTAGTGCATCTAGACCTAAAAACTAGTTCGAATTAGCATTTTGCTAATTCGAACTAGCATGTCCACATTGAGTGGACCCTGAACCGAGGTTCAGGATGGCCAGAAGCAGTGCCGGCAGGGCATCAGATTAGGACTTAGAGTGTGGAGCTGCTGTCTCAGGCTAGCCGAGGGCTGTGCTTAAAGGGACCCGACCCCCACCCCGGACAGACAGTTCTCAGGGGTTCCCTGCTCGCTTGTCTAATTCGATGAGGGATAGCAAAGCAGTCCTGGCTTGGAGTGCCCTGAATGTCCACACTCGGCACATCACAGCACTCGGCCATCAGCCCGGCTGCACTTGCCGCAGGCTGCCATCCG